TAATATTTTATATAAYTAGATCATTTTTGCAAATGCACGGGGTTTTGGATTAACGATTATCACTAAAATTTTTAATCCACCATATACCACCCTTMTTTTTCAAACCTGCTATTATTGAGGACCTATTATTTTCCTTGATCAATGCAAAGTTAAATAACCYGGTAAATAATCGATCAAACTTTGATATAGATTCGTGATATCTTGGTGAATCGCACTGTATAACAGTTGCSACRATTTTCAGAATAATATAAAATAATAGAATTTTTGGCATTYGTATTTATAATATATAACTGCACATTGCTCCAAGCGCGGGTATTATATTTTTATTTGAAACCTTTCGCCAACAAACTGAACAAACAGGAGATGACAATAATAATAATAATAACATAAAAATACTGTGCTTATTACAGCCCACGAGGAAGATCACTCGTAAAACGTATAGGTATGACACTTCTTTCGAACTTGTTTACACCGATGTAATGTTATTATAAAACATTGATTCTTAATAGATCCCCTAGCTTATTCCACCGGTATAATGATAAATGCTTGATTTYGTACGTTTCAATTACATATTTATATATACTGTGATGATGATTTTGTTAGTTAAAAATTATTTGCTGACGTATAAGATAAATGTGTGCGGTAGATCAACGATTTTTTTAATAAACAACTCGTTAGCAGTGTACATCGTCTACCCGTTCAAGCTATATATATATATATATATAAATGAAACGTTATTATACGTCGTGCTTAAGATCAAACTGCGACGGCTGAAATATTAATTTCTTAATTAAAATGTCCCTAGTTTCTGATTCCTTATATCATTGTATTATGATTTTAATGAATTTTATTAATAACTTTTATTAATTATAATGAAGCGTGGAAGAGCACAATATCCCTCGAGTAACTCTGCAGGCAACCCCATGGTGATACTGTCTTTCCGTTGGCTTCATAATTGATTGTATTTGTTTTTCTCACGCTTTAAAGCTGATAATATATTATTATTATTATTATTATTATTATATAAAATGATTTAAAAAAAACACATTCGGACTACGGTATAGTTACACTTTATATGTACAATATATTAATATCACTACAACAAATATCGTATTTCGAATGAATTCTATTTTGTGCCTGCAACAGTTAAACGAAATATTTGACGGTTATTTCGTCGACCTGCAGAGTGATCTGATTGTTATTATTATTATTTTTATTATTATTATTGATTATGTATAATATGCATATTACGTTACATCATAATGATATTATACACATTTATTAATAATTATGATGGTAACATGAAACAGTTTTTTATCCCTCCTGAAGATGTATAACATTTCGAATATTTATAGGAATGTGATATCTACCCACTCATAATTATTTCTCTTTGATGGCCAGGCACTTATTTATTAACAGACGTCGAAAGTATATAGAGTTATAAGTTATAACATGAAAATCCTATGAGGTTATTCGAGTATAATATATAATATACCAATAATAGTCTTTCGCAACCTGATATATAATTAAACAGTCCGCCGTTTTCATAATATTATTAYCAAACAACAATAAATATTGATATATRCCAATGAGTACGACAGTTTAAATTCGACCATAGTTCATTAATTCGAGAAAATTATAATTATTACAATGTCGTCATTCGCACAGTCATAAATTAGGTACTGCTGAATAGTTCACTGAGCCGCATTCGCCTTTTTGGATTCTTCAACAATGCAACGCAGTTATTCAAAATCKGTTTTATAGGATTTTTATACAAAATATAGGTAGATGATGATGTTTGAAGACAGTTTTTTTTCTTTTAATTTTCGAGAATTTTTTTAATACTTCCCTATATAGATGGTGCGCGCGAGACCTGCATACTTCTGTTTCTCAAATTACCCTCTACCCGCCACTCTTTCTACTGTAAAATTTGGTTAGCGGACAATTAAAAAAAAAAAAAAAAA